GTGTAAAGAGAAAAGTGCACCGAGAGAAGGGATGAAAAAATGAGGTGTGTTTTATGGGGGTCGGATAGAAGAAATATAAATTTATTTATTAGATAGGCCCAGCCCGTCCAACTAACAACCCTCGACACGAAGAAAAATAATTAAACATATTCGTTAATTACAATTAGAGATAAATTTACAAAACATAAAAAACAAGTATATACTGTTGCAGCCCTCGGGACGTTTTGGGAGGAAACCGCTGCGATTCCGATGGGACACAAAATAGAATCGGCTAATTTTAAACCAGGAATGTTGGTCGCTCTCTCTCTCTCTATCTATCTCTGTGTATCTTTTCGAATTCTCTGACTAAGTCGGAAAGCCCAACCCCCCAAAAAGCATCTACCCATCTCCCTTTTTCAATCTAAAAGCCACCATCACCATATTGTTTTTTTTTTTCAACACCCACGAATGAAATGAAATAATCATTTGTAACACATTTATTCTCAGCAGCTCCTTTTTTCTTTCACTTCTTTTCATTTTTTTTTCTTCATCTGCAGCCAGGCTTCCTCCTTCTAGAGGCTTCACCGCAAAGTGGATGGAATTCCTCCAACACATGTTTTCCTCACCATCTTTCTCTCACTCTATCTCTCTGCACAAAACCCAGACCATAGAGCGCACATGTTCCAACAAGTGGGTTGAAGGACTCCGAATCCGAAATCCATACACCCAACCCAAAAGTCCGAATCTACAATTTCTTCAATTTCTTTTTAAAGTTTTTTTGTTTCTATTTCGTCTATTGTAATTAATTTTTTTACATATATATTTTTTTCGTCGGTTGTTAGTTAGCCGTTGTTATGTGACTGCTGCTCCCCGTTGGGCCTTTTATCTAATTAATTGGGGGGCCTTAAGTGGATTAACGGCCGCGCGTTCGTTCGAATGCCGTTTTCGTGTCGACACAATGCGGCACACGTGTTGCGTGCTGCGTCCCCGTTGAATATTTTAAAATATTTAAAAAATATATATATAAGCAACAACGATGGAAAGGGGAAAGAGCGAGATGGACAACAACAAAAAACTTATATAAATGAAGAAAAAAACTATAGCATATTACGGTATCGCAGAGTGCAAGTTTCTGGTTTCCAATAATTCCCCGAAACGTCCCCATTTCTTTACTCATTACAATATCGTTTAAAATGTTGCCCACACGCTTTTCATTGCATTGTTAGACTTTGTTTCGTTTCAAAATTTACATCACCAATTCATGTTGGATGTTAATTAATTATGGTAATTCCTGGCGATCCCTCGATCACCTTTTTTTTATGAAATATTTAATTTATTTTACTCCAATATGCCATTACAAACAAAAGCTATTTCAACTAGTTTACAAAGTAATTATACACATCCTTAATTATTTTACTCCATTTCTTTGTTTTTCAATTAATTAATTCAACATTAATTTGCTTCATATTTCAAATAAAGTTTGTATAAAAAACTTTTTGAATTATATAATTTTTTTATTGCATCTTAACTTTCTAGAAAATGTCCAGGAAAGAGGAATTACCAATATATATATATACCAATATAAATCTTGCTTAAATAACATAATTCGTTCCGAAATTCCCGGATTTTTACTTGTATAGTGAAACAATTTTCCCTATATAAACTAATGTAAAAACGTTAATGCGTTAATGCTAGAAAAGAAAAGTATAACTTAGTCTCGATTTTTAATGATTTTGCTTATCTATGGTTAACATCCTGACTATATCGAAATCTTACAACCATAATCCCGACTATATCAAAAACCCGACTATTTGGAAATCCCGACTATATCAAAATCCCGTCTGCATCAAAATCTCGACTATATCGAAATCCCGACTGTATCGAAATCCCAACTTTTATTATTACAAGTGCATTTTACAAAGTTAACTCCAAAAAATAATGTGTCTGGTCCCACTTGGGTCTAGAAATTTTGCCTTTCAAAAAGTTAAGATAAATCCAGATTAATCGTCGTAGAAATAAAGTTTCTCATTAATCAAATTCATGTATTTATTACGTAACAATGATAATAATTACAAAAATTATTGGACTTTTCAAGCATTTTTTCAATAAATTTAATTCAAAAAAAAAAATAATAATAATCATCTTAATTTATATAAAAATAATTAAATAAGAAAAGTTTCTTAGAAATTAATTGGGTCAGTAATAAAATACTTGTATTTTTACAATAGTAATAATTGAATATAAGTAATTTAAAAAAAAAATCTTAGTTTATAATATCAATAATTGCGAATTCACTATACTACGGTTTGAAAATTTAAAAACAAACTAAATTTTCATTGTGCAAAATAAAAATAAATTCTAAAAAAGTACACAAAATTATTTTCTATTCATAAATTATAGCTTTTATAGAGTCAAGTCTCTTTTAGTTCTGTTTATTTTAGTCCTGTTTCAAACAGTCCAGGATATTAGCGTAACCGATTACCTAAGCGAAAAATTGATATAATTAGGAAAGCAAAATTTCAAACAAACTGAATTAGTTCATTATTGATCATGTATTTCTTAATTGACAGTAGTAAAATTTTAGAAAGCAACATTATATATCAAAAAATACTAGTTGATAATATTCATTCTTATAATAATAAACTTAAAAAAAAATCACACGAAATTGATTAATTTATGTATTTCTTAATTATCAACTGTAATATTTTACTATTCAACATTGTAAATTCGTAATATAGTAGTTTATCATATTGGTTAATAGAATTTGTTAATTTATCATGTATCATGCGTATTTATTAATTTACAAAATTAAAATTTGACTATTCAACATTGATAAATAATTGTTAAATAATAATTACAAAATAATAATTAATTAGCAAAAGTAATATTTTACTATACAATATTGTTAATTAAAAAAATCAAATTTGTTATATCCACTCAAACAACAAAACAAATTATCTTTTCTGTTTTCATAATTAATTAGTTCATTATTTAAAGTAAAGTACATATTATTAAAGTAACATTTAACTATTTCATATTACCAATACAAAAAAAATCGTTATTTATAATATTGATTAAGACAACAATGTCTTGTAAATTAACTATTTAACTTAAAAAATCTATAAATCTAAAGAATTCCTATTTGGATGTTTACAGCAATACCTCCGTTAACTTTATCGAACTCGGCAATCCCATTTAACATAAAAAAAATCCAATTTAAGGCCAACTCCTGGCCAGAAGTTGTAAGTAAATAACATCCAAGAAATTATAAATGAATTTATCTAGATAACACAATCAATAGGTTTCGGTAAATATCGATGAAGAGAGATGTTAGAAGCTTATGCAGAAGATGATAGATTTTCAGTGGAATATTTTGAAAACCTTGTTTACAATGAAAAGGAAGACGAAATTAAATATTAATCAAAGATTTGGGAAAGTTTTTAAATGCATTAAAAACGTTTTATTTAGTGAATTTAGTATTTTTTAGAAAAAATAATTTTGATTCAAGAAGTGTTATTGTTAAAATCAGTATTAAATATAATAACTCCGTATAAGCAATTGGTAAATGAAAGAGAAAAAAGATACAAATAAACAACTTTTCACTCTTATTTTAAAATGTGATTTCCCTTATTGTAAGTTGACTGTTTATTTAATAAAACTTTACTCATAATTACTGACCCTAATCAAGGTATGACTGTATTCATTTAGACAAAAATTCTATTTTTTTTCAACAAATCTATATATATTACAACAAAAATATTACATGATTTATTATTAGCAATTAAAACAGTTTCCCATTGATAATATACATTCAAATAACAATTAATCAACCTAGTTACACGGATTAAATTAGTTCATTAATGGAATCTATGTAGTTAATAAAGTGAAAACACTGTTTATTAGCAGCGTGTTTATTTATTGACAAAAATGTATAATTGCTTCTTAATGCATGTACAATCACTTTCAATATTTACGGCATTGCCTAAATACTTTAGAATACGGAATGTAGCGATAAGTAATGTGTAATAGCACTTTCAAATATAATATTAATAGCTGATGCTATGTGAAAAATGGTTAATCATTTATATAGTAATAATATTTATTATAACAGTCACTTATAAACATGTAAAAAACATAAAAAATTATCTGTTACAAAGAACTATTGACCATTGGTTTTCCCGACTTCATTTAAAAATTCTTAATTACAAGTTTTAAACATTTGTATTTTGTCATAAATAATAATGTTTATCATCTTCAAAGCCAATTTGATATAATTATTTGTTCAATGATTAAGATTATAATGTAATTATAAAATGATTCATGGACATTTCGTTATTAATTTATAAATTTTTTGTATGATTTCAATGGGTTTAAATAGTAAATGAATTTCATCGATATTTTGAACAACTTAATTACGTATTACATCAATTTTAATATGCCACCGATTATAATGTTTGTGAATACATTTTTATACAAATATGTAATTTTACTACTTTTCAATTCAAGTTGGTAATAGTTTTTTTTTATCATTTCCTAGTAATTGTCAATATTGGTATTACTTATTACTCTTTCACGTCATTCTAACTAAATTCATAAGATTTTATGATCTATAATTATACTTTCTATTTAAACATAAAAATGCAAGTTAAAATTTATCATTTGCATGAACATGTCATAAAAAAATAAAACAAATCTTTAAAATTGCTAATATTTAATGTCAAAAACCCTATTTGAAATCTATGTATTTTAACAATAAATAAAATGTTTCGATGTTTGTGACAACGTAAAAATATTGCTATTTTTCAATTCAAGTTTGTAATATTTTTATAAATTGTTATCATTTCCTACTAAATTGCAATTGTCAGTATTGATTTTCTCGTCATTTCCAATTCATATACAGTAGAATCTCGCTTAACGAGCAAAATGATTTGTAAGAAAAATGACTCGCTTAAGAGCGACGGTTCGCATAAGTCCCGGTGCGCACCTGCTATACATCATTTTTA